AAATCCACACTCTTATTAGTAATAGCTACAACGAAGAGGTTGCCACAATACCCTGAAAGAAATTCTGCACCTTTATTTTGTTACCAATGTTTTAGCTCCCTAACTTCACCCACTCGATTGGTAATTACTAGGTTCAGGGGTTTTATCTAGGGACATAAAAAGTTTGCATACACCATATTCTACTTTGCTATGCCACAACAATTTTGAGTTCATTGAACAAAGTTGCTGGGTTTTGGATACTCAGAAGGTTTAAATTGTTTCAGTAGTACTACCAACTAAATACTAATCTTTAACATTTGAGGGCCATTTATGTTTACTACTGTTATATTTCCATGAGCACTCAAGGAGCCTGTTTGTTTGGTAGTTTCCCGAACTCATCCTCTCCCTGTTGTCAAAATAGATATTTGTGTGCTAGGTGCTAACTACAGGTCCTGATGCAACAATCAACTTATTCCGTAGGTACTCAATGGTCTTCTGTGCAGAGATGATCAAATTGAGGCAGGCTCTCTTCCAATTGGTATAATACCTGCAGGATCTGATAACTCACTTGTTTGGACAGTCTTGGGTGTTAAAGATCCAATTTCTGCAGCATTGTCCATTGTCAGGGTAAATAACATTTCATTTGTACAGTTTTACTGACGGTTTTCTATGTATGTTTAACTCCTCTTTGCAACTTTGCATATAATTTGTTGACGTCGCATTTTAAAAAGTTTATTAAAGAACCTAAATGTTACTCATCATGTTGGGTAGGATTATGTTCATAGATACACCTTTAGGGATTCAGTTCCCTGATGTAAAACAATTTAATCATGAATTAGGTTCAGCTAAATCTCATCAATTGTGGTTAATGGTGCTTGTACACTGAAATGCCAGTATCCCAAATATCTTTCGGTTTCTGTTTCTTTTCTTTTACAGATAAATATTCTTCTTTCATTTGTAATTGTCTGCCCTCCCTATGGTTCCATTTGTGTGGGCCTGTATGTCACTGCCCTAATGTTAGCTGTTCTGTTGGACCTTCATCCCAAATTCACGTGACTATAGCGTGTCCTACTGTTGAGCCTTTCTTATCATACATCTTTTCTCATGTTTATTATATGAGGCAGGTAGCGACCGCTAGACAGTACATCTTCCTCACATGGTCACATGCGAGTTACTTCTTTGTAATTGTTCATTAGGCTTCCCTGAGATCCCTCCACAATGGACCCACACAAAAATACAACACAGCTCCACTCTTAATACGACCATAACGCTCCTCGATGTAGCTTTCTTTCGATTCTGCATTACTGTGTTATTGTCATGTTGCCAGCAACACCCAACCATGTCTTAACACTGACGCCAACAAAGTGAAAATATGTTGTACAGTACCTGTATGTCATGTTTGCTATTGACTATGTAGTTTCATCTAAGAGATGCTACCCTATACTTATTTGAATTGTTTAGTGTCGATACCATCAATTATTGTGCTTGCAACTTTATTATCTATGTTTTTTCATATAATATCTAGTCAAAGTAATAATATTCATTAAATTGTTTGTTCGTTGCAGGGAGGTTTTACACCTATTGATGTTTTTTCTGTTGAATGGATTCAGAGTGGGACTACGCATTTTGGCACAACAGTCTCGTATTTTGGCTTTGTTAGTGATGGTACCACATACTTGAATTTTCAGGAAATTTTCTCTTATTTTTAAAATATAAATTAGCTTCTTGAACTAAAGTGAGTTTCCATTTATCTGCTGCAGTTCTTGAACTCTCAGAGAAATACCAGAAGCGTTTTGGTCCTCTCCGTTACATTGTTGCTGGTTTTCTGAAATTCCTGTGCTTGCCAAAGTACAGTTTTGAATTGGAGTATCTTCCAGTAGCAGATGTTGATGGTGCTGGGCATAAAATTGTGGAGGGACAAGAAAAGGTTGATACGTCAGACCTCTATGACGATGTAGTTCAGAGGTCGAGAGCAGAATGTTTACCACGTGCCTCAAGTTTGTCTAGCATTGATTCAATCATGTCTACGAGCATAATGTCTGGGGGAGAACCAGAAGTTTCTAGTCCACGTGCTAATAATGAACCATCTGAACTTGTGCGGGCACTTGATCCGAAATCAAAACGCCAGTCATTAGGGAGGACAAGTACTTTCAAGGAACCAGAAGAATCGCTCCATCCTCAGGCATCAACTCCCAGCTGGCGTAGATCCAAATCAAAGTCAAGGACAGAAAAAGCGTGGCCAGGTTTGACTGCTACAAATGACACTAAACCTTCTAAGGGCACCACAACACATGATAAAGAAGACACATCATCCACAATTTCAGATCCTGGACCTGCGTGGGATACAGGACCCAAGTGGGATATGGAGCCTAAATGGGATAATCAACCTAATTGGGAACCTGAAACTCCTATCGAGCTACATGGTCCATCAGATGACATTGAGCTTGGTCTGACTAAGGAACTAGTCCCAAGCTTAGATGAAAGATGGGTCATTAGGAAAGGGCGCTATCTCGGTGTATTGGTATGCAACCATTCATGCAAGACCGTGCAGAGTTTAAGTTCCCAGATTGTTGCTCCCAAGGCTGAATATGACGACAACTGTCTGGACCTGCTGCTGGTTGGTGGAAGTGGGAGGCTAAGGTTATTAAGGTTTTTGGTGCTTTTGCAGTTTGGAAAACACATTTCTCTTCCGAATGTGGAATATGTAAAGGTGGGATTTGGCTCCTCTTTGTCGAGCATCCAGTTTTACTCATCACGACAGAAACAATTATCCAATTCTAGTTTCATTCATTTGACAAACTGCTGTGCTTATTTTCAGGTACGATCCGTGAGACTTAAGGCAGGCCCGAATACACATGATGGGTGTGGTATTGATGGGGAGCTCCTCCATGTCAAGGGGCAGGTCCGGTGCAGTTTGCTACCTCAGCAAAGTCGTTTGATCGGGAGGCCAGCCAAAAACCCTGTACAGTAACTGTAAATACATCACCCTGCAGCCCTATATCTGCCTGGAAATTCGCACCTGTACAACCGGCAACTTTCTTGATCTTTTTACCTCTGCATCCAGAACAGCCTCACTGACAGACAGGCACATATAACTCCAGCGCTGTACATTGGTGCTTGATGACCGAAAGTGCCAGATGGTGACATTTATCCAAGAAATGTAAAGCCTATCTGGTCTGCAGCCCACTGCGCTTCTCTTCGTTTCGCCTTTTCTTTGGCTGGTATCGGATGTGCTAGAGCGCCATCTATCTGATCAGCGTACTTGGGGGGACGGTTCTGTTCAGAACAGCATGGTGCCTACACCTGGTGTGTGCGGTTGTTTGGAGGTCCCTGGTGCCGGCCACTTGATGCTTGTCACCCCCCATTAGAGGGACAAGCAAAACACTGCCAATGCTATGTCCCTGATCAGCTTGTGCCGTTTACAGAAAGCGCGAACAGATTTCTATCATGTCGTGTTCCCGGTATAGTATAGGATTTGGACGAACCAAAAAAGGAGAGAAGATATTTGTGCTGCTGCTGGCTTTCCCACCTATAGTTCTTTTTGTGTTTGTGTTTGTGTTTGTGCGCCAAGTGTGATGTATTGAGTTGTAATTTGTCCCAGCTGTCTGCCATAAACGTTTTGGATCATAAATCTTTGTCAAGATAAACCTGCAGGTACATATGTGGTACTAATGTGTTGTTCTCTGCTGGGGAATAAATAGCATGGTTTGATAGTATGACATTGTTGGTTACATATGCCTGATTTTATCATTTCGTCCATGAGGACCATACAACCCCTGCAGGGCTGAAACTTATTAATCAACAAAAAAGGCAAAAATACAAAGGTGAACATGGGTGTGCGCGCACCCACGTGAATAGTAAATTCATAAAAAATACTAGAAAAACTAAAAAAATTCTGAAATTTTTGCGGTATGAACCTTAGTCGATCATTCTACTCACGTGTGAAGTATCATCATGTATTGACATCCATGGTATTCTTAGTGAAGAAAATACAAATGCGGTCATACTATTCATTAAACAGTGTTTTTTAATATAGATTCGATTAGTTTTGATTTTGTCATTTTTTTCCCAGATTACCACGGATGTGATTTCTTCGTGAAACTGCATATGCGAGTACACCGGTTGACTATGTATATTAAAAAAATATATTCCAAATTTTTTGATTTTTTCTATCATTTTTTGGAATTTACTATTTATAAAGGGTGCGCGCGCACCCATGTTCACCAAATCCGCGTCCTCAAAAAAGGTCTGTAAAGCGTTCGGCACGGACAAACCGACAAACGCCACGCTTCTGGTAACCAGGATCATTAGAATCTTTATTTAGGTACGGAAACCATCACTGGCAAAGATATATAGAACCGTTGGTTTGATAATTGTAGGACGCAGTTGGTAGCTAGCACGAGCTGGAGGTTGCTAAAAAGGGTAGCGAACAAAAGGCACCTGGCGATTGCGACTCTTTCCTTAAAAAAAAGAAGGGCATTTCTAATACGGATCCTCAAATGGCCTGCGAAATGTTCGGGCAGTCCAGACGCACTTTTGTCATTTAATACGTATTTGTCCGCAAACGTGTCTGTAGTCCGTTTTCTCACAAATCAGACGCAAATCAAGGGGAGCTTTGCGTTTGGACCTCTGCCACGTACGTGTCCGGCAAACGGTCCCATTCGAAACCCCTCTCATGCAGACACTTGCCTCCCTTGTGCGACCGCTCCAGCCGTCCCGCGCCACATTCATTCTACCGGTTTAGAGTGGACGCGACCGCTCCGCAACATGATGTAGACTGAAGGGACACACTGGCCAAGAGCGTCCCTGGCGCCGTGTCGCTCGCTCGCTCTCCGCGCAGTGTTCAATGCCGTCTCAGAGCAAAGTGACCAGACTGGGTGACGAGACGGCTTCCTACTGCATGGATCCCGGCTATTCGTCCGTCCGCCTACTCGGCATATAACAAGTGCGCCATCCGAGAAACCCACCGCCCGCATTCAAACCGCTGCTTTGCTTGATGGATGCCTGCTATAAACACGGTCGCGCACAACCCAAATTGCACCACCTCTGCTTCTCCTTCCTCATTCGTCCATGACCGCTGACGCAATGATGGCGATTGGCAGAGCGCCGTGGAAGCGGCTCTTGTCGGCGCAGAAGCACGAGAAGGCGGTCCTTGCTAACAACCGGCAGGCCCGCGTGTATGGCACATAGAGGGCGGACTGTCTCCGAGCTCGCTGGAGGAAAGATGGAGGATGACGACCGCACAATGCAGGGGGCGTCTGACGATAAGGTCGAGCCCTCAACCGTTTCCGCGCCGGTTGTCGGCTTCACCATGACGCGGGCGCAGTACGACTCCGTCATGGTAGTGGAGTAGGAGCCAACACAACCTGCACTGTCGGTCTCCGTGTTTTGGATGCTGCAAGAGGAGCAGCGATACAACCTCCGGCTTCTCGAGCAGCACTGGCTCGGCAAGGGACAAATCGCAGACGAACGAAGATGCCGTTGTGGCCATGGTCGCGGAGAATTCAGGCTCCCGGGATGAGCAGCGCCGCTGTACCAATCCATGCGCAGCGCCACAACATCGGCCGCGAGTGATGGCAGCTGGCCGCCCTGCGGGCAGAGACTGACGCCCTGTTCAGGAAGATCGATGCGGAGGCACACACAGAGGCGATGCAGGCGATCATGGACGGGAATGTTGCTGCCTACGTCGCCAGCTCCGCGCCGGCCACACCGTTCACACGGTTCTTGCCCGGTCGCAACGACCACAAGACCAGCTCATCCATGTCGATCGTGGACCTCATCTCGACCTATGACGTTCATACGACAGACTCCGGAGAGGAAGAGTAGAGGTGGGACATAGACGTAGGCACGTCTCGTGCCTCATGTGGGACAGCTCCGTGTCCCATGTCCTACTCCCCCCCTCGCCGATTACCCACAACTTCACTTCTCGAAGCCACGAACATAGGGAAGAATAGGACGTGGAACACGGGGGCCTCCACGGTACGTGGAGATTTAGACTAGGTTAAAAAAATGTCATGTGCACTTTTGTTAATGAAATGTGTCAAAAATATTATTCTCTCCGATCTGAAAAAAGTGTCGCAGTTTGAACCAAGGTTAGTTCAAACTTAGTTCGAAGGCACGACACTTTTTTTCTGATCGGAGGGAGTATTAACTTGGTTCAATTTGTCCAATTTGCTTAAATTCCGTTTTAGACGGACAGTGACTCTAATTTGAGAGACGGCTTTTGGCCTTAGGCCGCGTTCGACAGTCCTCGCGGAGCGAAGCGTGCAGAGTGGGGTTTAACCAACTCCTTAAATTATGGTGTAAATTAAGGGCCTGTTCGGCCTTCCGCCAGCTCCGCAGATCTGCGGAGCGCGTATATCTCAGCTTCACCTTTTCAGCCTGCAGCTCCGCCGGCTCCGCGAGCTGACTCGGGAGTGGAGGGATTCCGAACGCTCCCTAACTGGATTGCCGCTCTGCTCCGGCGCGGAGCCGCGGAGCGGAGGGAATCCAAACGCGGCCTTAATCTGTGCATGCAGAAAAACGCAGGAGCAAACAAAAGCCACCGACTGCGCAGGTGAAAACACCCAACGCAATATTGCACAGATCGTACCACTCAAACACACACAGAGGGGAAAAAAGGCCGGGAAGAACCGCTGGCGAAGTGCAAGAACATGGAAGCTGCCGCGCGGCAGGCTAGCACCTGCAATGGCAGCCGCGTCCCCTGGCGAAGCCGAGCGACACGCAGCGGCCGCCGCGGCGGCACCCGCCGTAGTGGCACACGTCCATGCAGGCGCTGTTGGCCGCCGCGTCCCCCGGGTCGCACTGCTCCACCGGGATCGTCGCCCCGCACGGCACCCCCGACGGGTAGTCCTCCACCCACGCCGCCCTCGCCGACGGCGGCGCCACCAAAACCACTGCAAAAAACGGGTCACGCCACATCAGACGCATGCATGCACACGTTTCAAGAGATGCATGCAGCTCGCGCTTCGCCACTCCATGCGAGCTTGCGGTTGCACGTACGCGGCTTACCGGTGAGCATGGCGACGAGGACGACGAGGAGGAGGCGCCGCGGTGGCAGTGGCAGCAGGGGCAGACTGCAGCGGCACGCGGCGGCATCGCTTCCCTGGGCCATGGGTCGCTTAATTAGCTTGTGTTCGCTCGCTCTGTTCCGGTGTTCTGCTCGGGCACGGGCGGGAAGGTGACAAGCTGATGGCTTGGCGCGCCCTGTGCATGCTGGCCATGGTGATATATAAGGCCAACTCCAACGACCACCGGCCTCTCCGTTTCGGCCCAAACGGACAGAGGAGACAGTCCAACGCGCAACCCTCATCCATAAAAAATATTTCTTTAGAGTCCGACTCGACCCATTTTCGATGCAAACATGCGTGTCAGACGGACAGCAAATAGACGCTCACGTGCCCGCTCCTCGTCCATCTCGGACCCGCATGTCGACCGCCCACCCACCTCCCACCGCCCAAATTAATTGCACACGGGCGATCGGACCCACTTTGGGCGGTTGGGCACATCGACGGCTACACAACCATAAACAAACGGGGTGTCCGTTTTTCTGCCCCAAAGAAATGAAACCCGGACGAAACAGACATCCGTTTAGGGTAGTGTGTTGAAGTTGGCCTAAAGAAGATAAGCAGACATTCTGACAAAGCGAATAGGTGGAAAGCTGCGGCAAGTACATGTGAGCGATTAGACGCCGATACGGTTGTTTGCTGCTTTTGTGCGTGGATCGTTAGCAATAATAGTGTATGTTATCCAGGCATCAACTTGTAATAAGGCTGGTTATTATTGCTGTATAATTGCTTGATTTGGACGCGCATATCTAGCGTGCTTTTGCTACCTGTAGATAAGGAGGATTAAAATTCATGGCATTGGTATTGTGTGCTCGATTTCGACATTATAAATTCATAGTGCACGGATTTCACTGATCAAGTTAGATTCAACATCATCCATCTATATGCTTAATGTACCATGTACCAATGAGGCAACCCTTTTGTTTTATAAATTCCTTTCAGTGGCAAAAGCAATAAAGCGATGGTGCCCACATGTTGTGATGTTGGTTAGTACTTCGGTATGTTTGTTAGTTTGCCCCTAGCACCCCCCTTACACTACTGCCTCCATCCTACGTTCTGAAGATTCAACTTTGAACAATTAAATACGAGTTATATGCCAAAAATATCACACCATTTGATTATTATTTTTCAAATTTTGAATCTAACATTATCAATTTTGTATACTATAAACCACATATTGTTGGAAAATTCTTCATCAAAGTTAAATCTCAAAAAGTGTATGTGTGCCTACTAAACAAGGGTGAGGGGAGTACTACACGGACAACCGTCGATGGTTGGTCATCTCTGATGGGCAGATAGATGTATGCCACTAGTAATACTTATCATTGGCATACAACAGAAGACAGTCCGTGGTGACTCTAAGAAATTGTCTAGCACATAAAGGCATATATGACTTTCGGATTCAAAATCAGGATGGAGCAGGTTCAAATATCGGCCAGATTCAAAATCGTATGGTTAGGGAATAGACTTAGGTCGGAAGTGGGCACATACCACATGCATATACAAGGGATATATAAACAAGAGCAAGTATTAATTAACACATATACTCTTTAAACTCACAAAAAGCACTAGAAGGTACTAAAATATTCCAAACAAACCACTAAAATATTCCAAACAAACCACTAAAAATAATATGTCTCATCACATAAGCAAATATAACATTCACGTATTGCTACCTAATACTTTTAACCTTATAATAAAACATATATCCATATTTAGCAATATTAGTGTATGTTACCCGGGTATCAATTTGCAATAAGGCTAGTTATTATTGTTGTATAGTTGGTTGCTTTGGACGTGCATATCTAGCGTGTTTTTGCTAGCTAGATAAGGATGATTAAAAATTCATGCCATTATGTGCTTGGTTTAGACATTGTACATTCATAGTGCATGGATTCCCTTGGTCAAGTTAGATTCAACATCATATATATGCCTAATTTACCATATAATAATGAGGGAACCTCTAAGTTTTTTAAACTCCTTTAATTGACAAAAGCACGATTGTAGAACCGCGTGTGGTGCCACATGTTGTCGTGTTGGGCATGTCTGTTAATTTGCCCCTTGCGCCTCCTTACTCTACTCTTTCCATCCTAGTTTAGTAGATACACACATTTTTAAGATTTAGCTTTGAACAAGAATTCTACCAATAAAGTATGAGTTATACACCACCATAAATGTCTACCAACTTATTATTCAGATGTGCATCTAACATTATTAGTTTTGTATAATAGTACCACATATTGTTGGACTAATTCTCGGTCAAAGTTACATTCTTAAAAGTGTGTGTGCCTACTATCCTAGGACGAAGGGAGCACAACAAAGGCAACCATCGATGATCGGTCATCTCAGATGAGTAGAAAGATGGATGTTAGTAGCAATGTTAATCAATGACATACAACCGAAAATCTATCAATGGTGACTCTATCAAATGGTTTAGTGAATAAAGTAATCTATGACAACACATAATATACAACGGTGGTGTCTCGATCCTCTCTGTATTCATGATTCACACCACTCTGACACATCTCGAAGGCGATGAAGGGACTCCCAGAGCACTAGCGTGAAAGGTCACCGTGTAGACATGAATAGCGGGACCCATGGGATATGTAGCATCACCTCTCGATCCCGCCACTTGCCACCGAGTCCACTGCGCTGCCATCAAATCCTGTTGTACCCCCATGGAATCTGGTTGCTACTTCCTTACTCTCTCATATCACCATTTTTGGTGCTGCTGAGCTTGATCTACCCCCTCCCCAGATCCATATGTACTCGAGCCTGCACCGTTCACTACAAGAAAAAGCGAGTTATGTGGGAAAATGACCATACCGAAAAGATAACCCATCATAGAAGTGTCCACATCCATGAAGAAAAAAAATCATTTTGTCATACATGTAGCGACACTAAACTAGGAAGACGAAAATCTATGACAATTTCTAAAAATTCGTGCAGGAAGTGCGCCTATGCTCCGCCTGGGCACTCGTATGATGGTCTCTACACTATCTATGATAAGGTGGTTCATGGTAGAAGCGAGGTCGACATTTCCCCCATGATTGGTATGTTGGGTTTCGTAGTAATTTCAAAAAAATTCCTACGCACATGCAAGATCATGTGATGCATAGCAACGAGAAGGGAGAGTGTTTTCTACGTACCCAACGCAGACCGACTGCGGAAGCGCTGACACGACGTAGAGGAAGTAGTCGTACGTCTTCACGATCCAACCGATCAAGCACCGAAACTACGGCACCTCCGAGTTCGAGCACACGTTCAGCTCGATGACGATCCCCGGACTCCGATCCAGCAAAGTGTCGGGGAAGAGTTCCGTCAGCACGACGGCATGATGACGATCTTGATGCACTACAGCAGCAGGGCTTCGCCTAAACTCCGCTACAGTATTATCGAGGAATATGGTGGCTGGGGCACCGCACACGGCTAAGGAATAGATCACGTGGATCAACTTGTGTGTTCTAGGGTGCCTCTACCTCGGTATATAAAGGACCAAAGGGGGGAAGGCTGGCCGGCCACAAGGGGTGCGCCAGGA